GAATATAATTTCCGGAAGAAATTAAAAAGTGGAAGGCTATATACTGAAGACCTAGTAATGAGAAGCATAGTATTAACAAAAGTGTTTCATTCAGAAGGAAGTCAAATTTATTTTCTACACCTAACATACATTATAAAAGAATGGGGGAATGCATGTATCACATGGAAATCAAAGACAATGTAAGAGAATTTGAGTCAATACAATAGGAGTCCACCTACATAGGTTGTAACTATTGACCTCACTATTTCAAACTTCTTAGGTCAATCCAAGACATCACATTCTTGATTTAGTCTACTTAGGTTTCCAGGCATACCTAAAAAGCAGGTAAAATAAGGCTGATGATATTACATTATTATTGGCTATAATTATGGTTAACTAAAAGTCATCCTGTATAATTATGACTCATAAGCACAAACTAGTATTAACACTATTTCTATCAAACATTTAGCTAAACGGGACACCTGGGTGGCTCAGTCGCTTAAGCTTCTGCCTTTGGCTTAGGTCATGATCCCAGGGTCCTGGGATCCAGCCCCATGTCAGTCTCCTGGTTCAGCAGGGAGCCTGCTTCTCCCTCTCCCACCTGCTTGTGCTGTCTCATGCACACTCTCTCTAATAAATATAAATCTTTAAAAAAAAAATCATGAGCAAAAATGGTGTTTATCCATATCATCTGTCAGATCAATTCAGTAAGACAGTTCCCCACATGAATACTTCAATAACCACACCTCAAGGAATCAGGCCACAGACAAGACGGACCTTTACTTAGGGTCATCAATTTCATACAATAGTGAGGAAAAGGTGAGGAAAGATATGTAATTTGTTGGCTATTGTCCACAATGCTCATTTTCTTAACATTAAGGAGGTTCAAAAACCTCCTAAATGCCTCCAATGGTAACAAGCACAGATGACAGGCAATTTATGTAGGGGGCGGGGGGAGCCTAGAGGTAACAGGCTTCCTAACAGCCACTGACCTTTGTCAAGTGAAAGCACCAGAGAGGGGACTAGCTTTCCATGCACTTGCATTGTGAATCCCAAAGGGCTAGGAAAAAGGGAGAGATCAACTCTGAGGCGTTAGATCCAAAGCACTTATTGGAAATAGTGATTCCAAATCTTTTCTGAGTCTTCGATTTTACACTGTTCACCATTAAAAGTGTTGTGCCATATATTTACCAAAGGGAAATCTAATTTGACTCCTTCAGGGCACCTGGGTAGCTCAGTCGGTTAAGCATTCGCCTTGAGCTCAGGATATGATCCCAGGGTCCTGGGATGGAGGCCCTAATCTGGCTCCCTGCTCAGCGGGAACCCTGCTTCTCCCTCTACCTCTGCCTGCTGCTCCCCATTTGTGCTGTTAAATAAAAAAAAAAAATCTTAATAAAAATATAAATTTGACTCTTTCAAGACCTGGAGCATATCTTCAGATATCCCAAGATGTTGCATAAAGAAGGCTGAGAGGGGAGCCTGGGTAGATCAGTCAGTTGAGGGTCTGCCTTTGGCTTGGGTCATGGTCCTGGAGTCCTGGGATAGAGCCCCCCCCCAGTGTTGGGCCTCCTGCTCAGCGGGGAGTCTGCTTCTCCCTCACTCTCCCTCTGTGCTCTCTCAAATAAGCAAATAAAATCTTTAAGAAAAAAAATTTTTTAAAGGCTGAGATACTCTTGTTTACACAAAGCCTCAAAAGGCATTATTTGAAGAGTATTATATATAATTCGAGAGTTCATTCTGAAAGCAATTAATGTTCCCTATGGCTAGAATATTATAGTTATCCCAAGTTGACTTTTTTCTTCATACAGGGCACTAAAAGTTTCCAAAGAGACTGTAAAACAACAATAGTACAAAGGAATTATTTTCACCTAACAGTGGGCCTTTGAAAATTCTAATGAAAAAAATCTATTGGGCGCCTGGGTGGCTCAGATGGTTAAGAGTCTGCCTTCGGCTCAGGTCATGATCCCAGGGCTCTGGGATCGAGTCCCGCATCCGGCTCCCTGCTCCTTGAGAGCCTGCTTCTCCCTCTCTTTCATGAAAAAAAAAAAAAAAAAAAAAAAATCTATTTAGTGGGTGCCTGGGTGGCTCAGTAGGTCAAGCGACTGCCTTCGGCTCATGATCCTGGAGTCCCGGGATCGAGTCCCACATCGGGCTCCCTGCTCAGCAGAGAGGAGTCTGCTTCTCCCTCTGACCCTCTTCCCTCTCGTGCTATCTCTCATTCTCTAATAAATAAATAAAATCTTTAAAAAAAAAAAGAAAAAATCTATTTAGGCAATCTAGGAAGTTTGAGTTTGTTTAAAGGGGAAAAAATAAAAACTCATTTGTCTATGTTTGCAGATAGGAGAAACAAGTAGATTAAATCAGCATCACATGCTATTCTAGATACTATTCCATTCTCCACTTAACTTTTCTCCCTTAAAGGTTCTTCCATAAAAAATGTTTTTCTTTCATTCCTAATCTGTGAGTTTTCGGGGGGGGGACTTTCATGAAATTATGCTTCCCAAGTTTACTTGTCTTGCAACTGACTGTACTTCACTCTGCAACTTAAGCTCTGAGCCTCAGCTGGCATCACCAGGAGGATTCAATTACACTGATATGTTTATACAGGTGAAATCCTCAAAAACAATCAAGAATACCAGTTAAGTACACAAGGCTATGTTATGATTCAGCTAAAATTTTGAGAAAAATAAAAAAAAAAATGTTTAAGGAAACCTGAAATGCCTTTCCTTTTGAAGACTGACTTTATTTGAGTGGAGAGGAGCATATGGAAAGGGACAAGCCTACTCTGCACTGAGTGAGCTCAAGCCCAGGACCCTGAGGTCATGACCTGAGCAGGAATCAGGAATCAGGAATCAGACCCTTAACTGACAGCCACCCAGGCACTCCATGCTGTCTTTCCTTTTGCCCAAGTTCTCTGACTTTTGATTTCATGAAATTTAACCATATTTATACTTCTTCTGAAAAGAAAAAGGAGCAAATGGAATTCTCTCTTAGGAGGGCCAAGTAACGTGGAAGGGAGAAAATAAAGTCCTCCTTCACCAAGCCAGGCATAACTAACAATAAAGAGGAAAATCAGTCTCCTCTTGGGAGAAATCCACAAAAACAGTTCTTGCCTGTCAAATCGCTGTGGGGAAAAAAAGAGTTGAAGTAAAGGCAGACTGGCGCACCTGGGTGGCTCACTCGTTAAGCGTCTTCTTCTGGCTCAGGTCATGGTCCCAGGGTGCTGGGATCAAGTCCCACATTGGGAATCCTAGCTCAGCAGGGAGTCTGCTTCTCAATCTACGCTTCCCCCCTGTTCGTGCTCTCTCAAATAAAAAAAATCTTTTTAAAAATTAAATAAAAATTAAAAAAAGAAGACTCTATACCCACCAACACAGGGCTTTGACTCACCACCCTGATACCAAGACCTGAGCTGAGATCAAGAGTCAGACACTTAACCGACTGAGTCACCTGGACACCTCTATCTAGCAATTCTTGAATCCACTGTAATTTACAGAAGAGATGGTACACTGGAAATAGAACTAACATTAAGTGTGCACTATTTGCTATGCCCTTTACATACACGCTGTTTTCTGTTTCAATAGTACTCAAAATTTTGGAGTCAAACTCTGGGAAAATTTCTCCCATCATCATCTTTCTTCATTGTTAAGAGTTCCCAATGGGGAACACAAAACAAATATATGTATGTAAAACCCTGCAGAAATAAAAATGCTGCCACTTCTCTCCCCGATAATCTACACTTTAAGTAAATATGACAACACTAGACTTTTAACTCCTAATAATCTACAATTCATTGTGCATGGTACCTAGTAGGTGTTCAATGTTTGTTGTTAAATGAATACTGAAAATATCTGATACACAAGCATTTTTTTGTCAATGTGCATTTATCATTCTACTCATTAAAAACACATCTTAACACACACAGCCACACTGATATCTACTCCTGAAAATGCCCTCGTGACAAGAAGTGGAAAATCAGTATGATACAGTGGAACAGGATGATGACAATTAGAGAAATTATGAAGGGAAATTTCAAACATTTAAAATTTTTCCAGTCTTCTTGATGTCACTTATATTGATTTCCATGGAAATTGACAGATGTCTGCAAAAAATCTATTCCTACTTCGAAACTTTAGGACTGCTCTTGACCACAATATCACACATAATCATATCCATTTAAATGCCATATCAGAAAATTTACATTTGAAGGGAAGTCACTTATTTACAAGTAATATGCAACATGTTCAACTAACCTCAACAGAAATGAATATTATCATTTATCATTTAAAGAGTACCTATCAGAAATACAGGTAATTCTCATGCTAGTGGACAAACGTTTTTACTAACCACTCATTTCAGTTCGTTGAACAAGAATACCTAAATGTGCGTATTTTGTACTTCAGACAAAATATAGGTAGAGAAATATGCTGGGATTTGTTTTGTTTACGGTTTCTAAAAATATCAGAAGCACTATAGTGTTTAACTCCACGGAATTGTTTACCAGCAAGCAGGTCGGTGTTCCGAAGAAGCAAGCCATTGAACATGTGCAAAATAAGGGTCTTTCAAAATAATTTTTTATATAGGGAATAGACGGGAGTGCAAAACACATCAGTCACCAGTAACAAAACAATCTTTGTCCCTCGCTATTTGTAAAGAGGAGCTCAGGGCCAGCGCTCCGACCTGGCACCCAGGAGGTGAGGAATGATTGTTGGGCAGGGTTGCGCCCATCACGAAGCGTTCCGCAAGGGCTGCCCGGGGGGCGGACCTCCTCCTATACCGGGCATGGTCCTCGGACCGAGACAAAGCCCTACGAGAACTCTTCTGCTTCCCGCTTGGGGGCTGGAGTCAACCGTCCCTGCTTAACTTCCCTGCAGTTATCCCCGCATTCTTAAACCCCACTATCTACACTCTGCCGGGCACCCCGAATCCACCGCGGCTCCGGCGGCCCTCGATCCCGTGCCCCCTCCGAGCCTGTGCGCTCGGGGAAGCCCACCCGGGCGGCGCCCCCATAGGCGGCTTACCGAGCAGCGAGCCTATGAAGATGACGACCTGCACGGTGGTGGTGAACTGGCGGTACAGCTGAGCCTCGCCGAACTCCCCGAGCGCGCTGCGGTTGGCGCTCCCAGCCTCCGCGCCCGACGCGTTGCGCGGCTCGCTGGCGTTTCGGGAGATCCAGCTGCCGTTGTGCCCCATGACGAGGAAGGGGTTCCTGCTCCACTCGTCGCCCGCCCGTCCGCCCACCACGGAGCCCCGCCTGGGTCGCCCCTGCCCCGGGTGCGGTGGAACGCGCGGGCGCCTGGTGGAGTCCTGGAGAACCCGGGGCAGCCGCGGGTCCCCTCACCTCTCCACATCGCCAGCCCCGGCGCCTGGGAGGCGGGGAGGGAGGAGGGCGAGGCTGCGCCCCAAGCCGGTTCCCTCCTGGGTCCCCGTCAGCAGCCACATGGAGGCGGCACGGTCAGAGCCGGCTGAGCTGCGTCCTTGCCTCCTCCCGGGTAGTCAGCGCGGCCAAGCCCACTCGGCAGAGATGGAAACACAGGAGGCATCTGATAGTCAAGGAGGGCGCTCCCCGCTCCCGCCGCCCTCTTCAACCTCTGCTCCTTCCACCCCCCGAGTGCCGGGCCATCCCTCTCAAGCCCTCTCCTCAGAAGGACGAGAACATTTGGCTGATCAATCCTGCTGGCTCTGAGGGGCTGGATGGCGATGGGAAACCTGTGAAATGCCCAAGCCAAGTGACCAGAGCTCCGAGGGGACCCAGAGTGCCCGACGGCACCTACGGTCTGGGCGGAATGCCCTGAATCTCCCAACAGCCTCGCCCTCACGCGCCCGGCCGTCCCCCAGGACACCCGCGCGCTCTCCTCTGGCCCAGCCCCTAGTCCGGGACTCCGACCTCCCGCCTCGGTGTCAACGGCAGAGACACCGTTCTGGAGCCCCTTTGCCTCTGCACGGCCTAGCGCCCCCTTTCCTGGCCCTGCTCCCGCCTTTGCTGCGGGGAGAGACGCTCGCGGACGCGCCGGGACAAGGGAGAACACCCCTACAGGAGCAGACCCCGATCTGCGCACCGCCGGACTACCCGCGCGCTCCAGGAGCAGGGGAAGGGAGCGCAGCCCGCGGACGGGGTGGGGGCGGTCACGTGATGCGCGCGGCTCCGCCCTCCACGCCGAGGGGGCCGAGGGGATGGCGCCATGTTGGCCCTTCCAAGCGTGACTGCCAAGCCTGGAGCGTGGGAGGCGCGGGGGGTCTTGATTCGGCTGCAGTGGATGCGTTCAAAGCGCTTCCCCGGCTTCACTTTATTTAGTCCTGTGGTTACTGCCCCTTATCTCTTCAGCAGGGGCTGCCCGAGAGGCTTATAATTACACTACAATGTCACCTGGGCAGGTATCCCAGTTTTTGGCCCCTCAGTGACGCCTTGGGTGTAGCTGACTATGAAAGATAAAATTTAGGAATACCATGCACGGTTTCCTGGACCTTTTTACTGAGTCTCATTTCTAAAAGGTACACAGTACAGCCCAAGTCTGGTGCAATCCGAAGAATGAATACTTGGGGAGGGAGCAACTTCCTGCCAGCTGATGCAAAAAGTTGGGAAGCTGGGATAACCAAGTGAACAAGAAACAGTAAAGAGTAGCTGAGTAGTGAAAGGAACGTGCACTGCATCCAGAGAAAGGATCAGGAGAAAAGGAGAAATGAGAGGAAAAGACAACTAAAGATGAGCTGTTTTGAAGTTTGGGAAACTGGTTTCTTTTTAATTAGTGAAGGAGTTGGTAGAGGGCTTTAACATATTGACTGATGGCGTTAGGTCCCTGAATACTAACTCTTAAGAATTGAGTAGAATTACAGAATTTCTTGGGGCACCTGGTTGGCCCAGTCAATAGGGCTTCATCTTGGGCTTATGAGTTCCAGCCCCATGTTGGGTGTGGAGATTACAAAAAAAAAAAAATTTACCAAAATTCTTGGTGGTCCCAAGGCTGATCCTGCTACAATGTGACTATTTCACTTACAGTGTACAAGACATGAAGTCTTTAAAGAGCAAAAAAGCCCTCCGTGTCTTGTACATTATTGAGTTTCACAATATCTGCACGTAATAATCCTCCATGTAAGCAGTTACTTTAAACATTTCAGAGGCCATAAAAAGAGGAGAGGCAAAAATGATGTAGTTTTGGAATGTTGGTGGTGTTGGGGTCCAGAGCCCACCGCCAAGAATTCTTAAGATGGCTTCTGTGCGAAAAGGTGGTTTTATAGGGCGCCTGGGTGGCTCAGTTGGTTAAGCGACTGCCTTCGGCTCAGGTCATGATCCTGGAGTCCCGGGATCGAGTCCCGCATCACTGACCCTCCCCCCTCTCATGTGCTCTTTCTCGCTCTCTCAAATAAATAAATAAAACCTTTAAAAAAATAAAATAAATAAAAATAAAAAGTGGTTTTATTAAAGCACGGGGTCAGGACCTTGGGCTGTTGCCCCAGAATTGTGAGGAGCAACTGATTATGTACTTTGAGGTTGGGGGAAGTAAAGGTAAAGGAAGTTCCAAAAGACTTGTAGGATACCCAAGGCCTTGCTATTGTCAAACCAAAGTTATTTTTCCCTCTACCAGTGTTTTAACATTTAGGAAGTTGGGAGGTTCCCGGAGGAACATTATACTCAGCCGGCCTCAAGTATTTGTCAATCTATTTTCCTTCTGACTTTGTTTCCCACATCAAAATTACTGATCAATTGTGTATTTTTTTTAAAAAGCCATTTCCAGTAGTTAAAATTAGTTCTTAGCGTCCAAACATATTTTTCAAACCCCTTGCACTATAATCATTACAAAATAAAATGTAGTAGTCATTCAGCAACATCCAGCATGTTCCTGTAGGAAAGGCTGAAGAAGAATGTGTTTTGTAAATGAGTTGTTTAGTAGCAGTTGTAAAAATACCTCTTTACCTGCCACTCCCTATTCAAAACTGCTAGGAAGAGCTGGGATAAAGTTGTAGAAAAGAGGGACGCCTGGGTGGGTCAGTGAGTTAAGCATCTGCCCTTGGCTCAGGTCTCACATCCGGCTCCTTGCTCTTTGGGGAGCCTGCTTCTCCCTCTGCCTGCCTCCCCCCTGCTTTACACCACCCCCGACAAATAAATAAATAAAATCTTAAAAAAAAATACGTAGGAAAGAGTCAATTTTGTAGATGTAAAGGGTTTAATAAAGCAAGAAACCTCTCATTTTTTTATGCTGAAAAGATACCAGTAAATTCCCTACAACCCCTAGATTGGTATTGTAACCAAACTAACCTGAGTTAGCTCGTTGGTGAGTCACAGGAACTGATGTGGGAAACAAAGGCGGAAGAAAAATGACTAAATTTCCTTACTACCTACAGGCCATTGACAAGTCCTTGAAACAGGCTGAGTGACATTCTGACTTTGCTAAGGGTAAAAGGCAATCCTAGCCTGACCCCTCCCTAGAATCCTGTAAGTCTACTTTAACATATAAAAATTCCTTTAAAAATTTCCTTTATCTCTAAACCCCCCAAGATACATGTTGGCAATCACCCCCCAGGCATATGGCCCCCGATATACATCTGAAAGGTCTCATGACTAACGTTTTATTAGACGGTAATAAATGACATTTTCCCAATAATTAGCTAGCCCCCTCAAGGTCCTGGAAAACTTGCTTCCAAATTCCTTAGAGACTTATGCTATCCCTAACCCCCTCCCAACTTGAAAGTATATAATGGTCCACCCCATATGACCCCGGTACAGCTCTTTCTGCCCACAGGTCCTGTCCCCGCGCTTTATTATTTTTTTTAATATGGTGGTTTTAGATTTTATTTATTTATTTGAGAGAGACAGCGAGAGAGGGAACACAAGCAGGGGGAGTGGGAGAGGGAGAAGCAGGCTTCCCGCGGAGCAAGGAGCCTGATGCGGGGCTTGATCCCAGAACCCGGAGATCGTGACCTGAGCTGAAGGCAGACGCTTAACGACTGAGCCACCCAGGCGCCCCGTGTCCCCGTGCTTTAATAAAACCACCTTTTTGCAACAAAAATGTCTCAAGAATTCTTTCTTGGCTGTCAGCTTCGAACCCTAAGGTTCTTTCCTACATCAGGAACTACACCAGGTGAGTTGTCCCACAAAGGAAACTTTATTTGCAGTAAGTAAGGAGATCATGAGGAATAACTTCCAAAGCCATGACTCCCATGCAAGGAAGAGTGGGTTCCTTTTATCTAGGGTTAGGATGAATATTTGGATAAGGGAGCCTTAGTGTTATACGTAGAGGTGGGTGTAAGATCTCACATGCGCCTTAAGGAAACATACCTATAGGGGTGGCTCAGATGGTTAAGCGTCTGCCTTTGGCTCAGATCATGATCCCAGGGTCCTGGGATCGAGCCCTGCATCGGGCTCCCTGCTCGGCGGGAAGCCTGCTTCTCCCTCTCCCACTGCCCCTGCTTGTGTTCCCTCTCTCACTGTGTCTCTCTGTGTCAAATAAAATCTTTATAAAAAAAAAAAAAAAGAATTAACTTGAAGGATGCCTGGGTGGCTCAGTTGGTTGAGTTGGGTGGCTCAATTTGGGCTCAGGTCATGATCTCAAGGTCCTGAGATTGAGTCCCGCATCGGTTCTGTGCTTGGCGAGGAGTCGGCTTGTGCCTCTCCTTCTGCTCCTTCTCTCTCTCTCTCTAATAAATAATCTGAAAGGAAGGGAGAAAGAAAAGAAAAAGAAAGAGAAAGAAAGAGAGAAGGAAAGAAATTGGGGCATCGGGCGCCTGGGTGGCTCAGTTGGTTAAGCGACTGCCTTCGGCTCAGGTCATGATCCTGGAGTCCCGGGATCGAGTCCCGGGATCGAGTCCCGCATCGGGCTCCCTGCTCAGCAGGGAGTCTGCTTCTCCCTCTGACCCTCTTCCCTCTTGTGCTCTCTCTCATTCTCTCTCTCAAATAAATAAATAAAAAATCTTTAAAAAAAAAAAAAAGGGGGGCGCCTGGGTGGCTCAGTTGGTTAAGCAACTGCCTTCGGCTCAGGTCATGATCCCAGAGTCCTGGGATCGAGCCCCGCATCAGGCTCCCTGCTCAGCCAGAAGCCTGCTTCTCCCTCTCCCACTCCCCCTGCTTGTGTTCCCTCTCACGCTGTCTCTCTCTCTCTCTCTCTCTCTGTCAAATGAATAAATAAATAAATAAATAAAATCTTTAAAAAAAAAAAAGAAATTGGGCCATCTGGCGGGCTCAGTCAGTGGAGCATGTG